GGGTTTTTTTTGTCTTTAATCCATAATCATCAAAATTGAAACAAATAAAGGCTTGAAATATTTCACTTTGTGTGTAGTGAACTAATATAACATACAAGTTTCACTTTTTGAAACAAATTATTGAAATAAATGGACTTTCCCTCGATATTCTAATTTTTTGGCACATACCTGTAGACTTACCCTAACCCTGACCATACCCACTACCTGGGCCACCCTAACCTTAGACCAAGTCATCACTCTGCTGCCCTTTTGTCTCCATAAAGTCGTGGAGTCCCCATAGTGTAACTGTGTCAAGAGATTTGCATCCCCACAGCATGAGCAACAGAAAGTCACACACACCAGACTAAAGTCAGTCCCATGGAGATAGGAGGCGACACTGCGCAGCTGATCCGGACAGTGCGTCCTGGCCGACGGCTCTGACGCACAGGACGCTGTCGTTGCGGATTAAAGCCTGACCAGCGGTGACTTCTCCGCCCCGGGAATTTCTTTGGCTGCAATTTTTCAGGAGACAACGGCAGGTGTGTAATGTTGTGTGTTAAATTTTAGAATTTGTTTGGGCAAAGTTAGAGAGAGAGAGAGAGAAACTGCCACTGAGAAAAAAAGCCGAGTATCTAAAGTTTTGAGGGATTGCCAAAGCAGGAAGCGATGGACTGTTACCCCCGTGCTTCTTATAATGAATTCAGTCAGCTACCTTCAGGCCACGCTACCCGTAGAAACCCAGGTCTTCCACAAAAACCCAAAATAACAGACGTGTTAACCTCCCGATCAAAGTAAGGTCGCAAACCAGAAGTCACCACCAGTAGCAGAGCTTGAGATTTTAAGGAAAACGTTGTTACGTGGTAGATTTTCTAAACAGTGACCCTTGATGATCTTAACGGGGTCAGCTCCGTCTTATTGTATCCAACAATAATCAAGAAGTTATCACAATGAACTGTTAGCGAGAAGTGTGGTGTTGTTCTCTAGCGGCTCACAGGGAGATGTTGGTCGGGATGCACTTAGATTTTCCCACTAAATGTCTTACATTTCAAATGCAGTCACACCAGAGTGCAGAAGGTAAGTCAGTGTGAATCCGACACACGTACCTACAGAAAGCTAACGTAAGAAGTGTGAGATGGCAGCTCTTCAGTCATTCCATGGAAACTCTGCAGCCTGCATTTTTTTATTCACCATAACCAAACGTCCCATTTTCTCTTTCATAGCATGAAGGATATGTCACACCAACAATAAAACATATTTTACCAGCTCAGGAACTGTTTGTTACATCAAGATATCAGAGTTGGTTTGTTCCACCCCTCACAGGACAGTTGGTAATCCAGTTCAGTGAAGGAGCAGAAAGATTCACACCCAAAATTCTCTGGGGTCAGAGGTAACACCACGCTTTGAAGGCAGCTAAGCGAAAAATGAATGCTTTATACAAATTTATTTTGAAAATTTAATTAAGTTTATTTAATGTTCTTTCCATGAGGGGGTGTTACGCTTGACAGAGAAGGTACTGAAAGAAAAATATTCCAAAAGAAAATCGAATCCTGTCATCTTTAAACCCTTAAATCTTAGCGATGTCACTTAAATTGTGTACCTTGTGTTTTACTATTTTTATTTTTCATACATTGTGGGCGGTTTCCTGGAGACAGACAATTTAAAGGACACACGATCCTGTTCTCTCCTGTTCTGTACACAACACACAGGGGTGGTGTACAGTCTTATGCAAAAGTTTAGGCACCCCTTGATAAATAACAGATTTTGGTGATTTTTTATTTGAACAGATGTTAACACAGTTTCTCTTGGAAATGGAAAAAATGCACAATATTTTCTGCAAACAGTGATGCATAGTTACTTCTTATGCCATAAATTGAACAAAAATAAAAAATAAAAACATTATTATGGCATAGTGCAAAAGTTTGGGCACCCTAAGAGTTCCAGAGTCTCAAAGTCTCTCACAAGGTATCAGACCTTAATCAGCTCGTTAGATCTGATGCACAGCAACAGCTGTCATTGGTAAATGCCAATTTCAAAGCTGTACAAATACTTTGACTCTTCAAACCTTGTGCACACACTTGTGGACACCCAGCAACCATGGGTTCCTCTAAGCAGCTGTGTAAGACCCTGAAAATGAAAGTTATTGACGCCCACAATGCAGGAGAAGGCTACAAGAAGATAGCAAAGCGTTGTCAGCTTGCAGTTTCCACAGTAAGAAATGTAATTAAGAGATGGCAGATCAGGGGAACTGTGGAGGTCAAGATGAGATCTGGAAGACCAAGAAAACTCTCGAACAGAACTGCTCGTATGCTGGTCAGAAAGACAAATCAAAACCCCCATTTGACTGCAAAAAACCTGCAGGAAGATTTAGCAGACTCAGGAGTGGTGGTGCACCGTTCCACTGTGCAGCGATGCTTGCACAGACAAGGCCTTCATGGAAGAGTCAGCAGAAGAAAACCTTATCTGCGTCCCCATCATAAAATCCAACGTCTGAAGTATGCAACAGGACATCTACAGAAGCCCGATGCGTTTTGGAAACAAGTGCTGTGGACTGATGAAGTTAAAATAGAACTCTTTGGACACAATCAGCAAAGGCATGTTTGGAGAAAAAAAGGAGCAGCATTTCATGAAAAGAACACCTTGCCAACTATTAAGCATGGGGGTGGATCTATCATGCTCGGGGGTTGTGTTCCAGCCAGTGGCACAGGAAACATTGCACGGGTGGAGGGAAGAATGGATTCCACTAAATACCAGCAAATTCTGGAAGCAAACATCACACCATCTGTAAAAAAGCTGAAGCTGAAAAGAGGATGGCTTCTACAACAGGACAATGATCCTAAACATACCTCGAAATCCACTATGGAATACCTCAAGAGACGCAGGCTGAAGGTTTTGGAATGGCCATCACAGTCCCCTGATTTAAACATCATTGAAAATTTGTGGGTAGATCTTAAAAGAGCTGTGCATGCAAGACGACCAAAGAATATTACAGAACTAGAAGCCTTTTGCAAGGAAGAATGGGAGAAGATCCCAAGTACAAGAATTGAAAGACTTTTAGCTGGCTATGAAAAGCGTTTGCAAGCTGTGATATCTGCCAGAGGAGGTGTTACTAAGTACTGATTGTGTAGGGTGCCCAAACTTTTGCACCATGCCATAATAATGTTTTTATTTTTTATTTTTGTTCAATTTATGGCATAAGAAGTAACTATGCATCACTGTTTGCAGAAAATATTGTACATTTTTTCCATTTCCAAGAGAAACTGTGTTAACATCTGTTCAAATAAAAAATCACCAAAATCTGTTATTTATCAAGGGGTGCCTAAACTTTTGCATAAGACTGTAGCTTGATTT